ACCTCATTGTCTTTAAGGACCATCTGTCAACCAAGAACAAATTTCTAATCAAAAGCTAAGCAGGACATCCTTACCAACGCTGGAGCGCTGCCGATAATAAAATAAAGGCCAGCAGAGCCCAGGAGCTGCCGCCCAGGGCCCAGGGGAGGCCGCACACAGCATTTGGGCTCTGCAGCAGCTCCAGAGGCTGCGGGAGCCGGGCCCGGCCAGGCCGGAGAAGGGAAGGCCCGGAGGGGATCCCGTGGATCCACACAAACATCTCCGAGGGCTGCCAGAGGATGGGGCCGGGCTCTGCCGGGCGCTGCCGAGAATAAAATAAAGGGCAGCGAGCGGCAGCCCGGCAGGAGGAAGAACTTGTGTCCATGGAGGGGCAGAGGCCTGGAACAGCTGCCCAGGGAGGGCCTGGAGTGTCCCTGTGTGGAGCCATGGCAGCCCCAGCTGGGCACGGCCTGGGCTGGAGCATCTCCAGAAATCCGTACCAGCCCCAACTATTCTGCAGTTCTGTGGACTAAAATTCAGATCTGCTGTCCATCTGATTGCATTAATAACACATTCTATCTGTAACTACTCACCAAGGTTTTACTAGAAACTGTATTTAAGAGACATAAGTAATTTTATTGATGTGGACATTAAACCACTAGGATGGTTTTGGTTCTCTTATTTTTTAATTTATTGAAGTGGTCTCTTGGTGGGTTTATTTGGTTGGGTTTTTTTGTGTGTATTGCATTTCTGCTTACATTCAACCGATCTATTTCCTGTTACTATGTACAGTAACATGTGAGGCCTCCCAAAGATGATAAATTTGCAATATTGGGCTTTGGATACTACAGGGAACATCTTTACCCTCACAATTCAGGTGGTGAGAACCTGGCACAGGGTGCCCAGAGCAGCTGGGGCTGCCCCTGGATCCCTGGCAGTGCCCAAGGCCAGGCTGGACATTGGGGCTGGCAGCTCCTGCCATGGCTAGGATGGAACAAGTTGGGCTTTAAGGTCCATTCCAACCCAAGCCATTCTGAGATTATTTGGTTCTATGATATTATGTTGTTGAAAAACCTTGCTGCCTGTGATTTCCCTAAAAGTGCAGGTTTTAGCAGTATTAAACACTGCCGTCATCCAGTCAAGGTGTAAAATCCATTCTGTCCTGGAGACAGATGGAGAAAAAAAGGTGGAAATGCAAATATAATACATAAACACCTTACAGATTCTCAAAATAAAATACTAAACCAGGAGAATATTAAAAAAAATATCGTCACTTAACCGCACCGTTAAATAGAATTAACCATTAGACTCTCCAGATCTCGAAGGGACCCACAAGGATCACCCAGTCCAACCCCTGTCCCATGTGACAAAGTCATCCTTGAGGTATTCAAGGCAGAAGAATAAAATAATTCCCAGAAATGAGCAATTAGCCTTCCAATATTACAGGCATCAATGTTTAAAAAGAATTTGTGGAGCAAGACATTTTTTTCATTATGGCGCATTGTTGAAAACTGTTCTGCACCAAATAACTCCAGATTAAAGCTCATTAACTTAAAATGTAGAAAAATAACAAGTAGTTAAGGATGACATAATTTTTCAATTTTTTTTTATTCTTAGGCTTCAGCAATGTCTCCTTTCATACCATGCATTCTAATTTGTCCTCCTCAAAATAGCCTTCCTGCTTGCATAACATTGACTCTCTAAATGAAATAAATAAACAAATAAAAATCCTACAAAAGAAATGCTTACAGATCTTTAAAATCCTTAATGATCCAAACACAATAAAAAAAAAAATCCAAAAATAAATTAGCTACTGTACATAATCTGAGAAATTTATGAAAAAAATCCCTTTGTTTCCCTTTGTTACTCTTCAAGTTCTTGTAGCAAGCACATTTACAGCAAGAATTAACATTTCAAAAATGCAAAAAATTGAGATGAAATTATGAAAATACTTTAATTTGACCTGTAATGTGCACAGATACCCTTCTTGAATCCAACCATTTCGAGACTAAATCTCCAGAATTTTGTGGTAGCCTTCAGATTTCAGGACATTAACTACAGGGTATCAGCACCTTGGCTGAAAGAGAACCAGCTTCAGGTAATGACAAAACCCAAAATAGTCCAGTGATTTCAATATTATCAAATTATTGTTGTTCCCAGTTTGCCAGCTTTTAAACAACCCATTATGCAGCTACATAACAACAGATCCACTTCTAAAATTATTACATTTTGCCCTCTGACTATGAAGAGAAAGGCTAAGGATGAGGGAAGAAAAGTAAAATGACATCTCAGCCTCTTGTGGTAATCTCTACCAGCGTGTTCTGGACTAAATGACAAATTGTTAAAAATTCTTTCAAAACTGGACAAATCAGCAAGCCAATACCTTCCTGCTCCTTGAGCAAGGATGCATTTCTGTGATCGAACAGGTAAATGACTGTTAGTTATTTTATTTAACATCTACCTGCACATCATCTCCCAGACAGGCATCTGCTTTCATCTGTTATAAAATACTTGATCCTGATCAACTTCTCTCCACTCTGCAGCTGAGCAGAAGCCCTGAAGAAGAGCATTAGGTGGAGATAATCAATTCACAGGCCGTGCACATACTTGAAAAAGACGTTCTTCACCACAAAAGCTCGGCTAGAATATTTATGAAATTGCAAGCGCTGTTGCCATGCTCAAGTAGATTTCCTTCTAATACTCAGTAATCCCTGATTCACACTCGGATTGTCAAACCCAGGAAGCTAAAAGCGCATTGAGGGCTTGAAAAATGTCCTCCCCTTGTCTCAGCTCTTTAAATTTGGTGCTGTGGTGCTCAGATTCAATGAAAATACGCATGGCTTGCCTGGCTCTCTGTGAGATTTTGGTTTTGGGTTTTTTTTTTTCTGTTTGTACCTGTGGGCCCAAAAAGAGCTTCTCTGCTTTTCAGAGGTTATTTCCAACAGGCATGTCAGTCATTCTGGTTTCTTTGCATAAAGCAATGCTCTCTTTCTTGACTTCCTGCTGTCTCAAACATACCAAAAGCTGTCACCATCTCTCACTCATTTGAGCAGTTTCCTCTACTATTTGCTCCAGTGACCTTTTCCCTGAAGCTACATCTGAGTTTCTCTGTGTCTCACCCACATGATGCTTGCCCTTTCTTACTGCTAAAGCTGTAAAACAAGCAAGTGAACCTCACACTTCTGTCGTTCAGATCATAAAAGTGTGAATAAGGCTTAGGCCTTTAGGCTTTTCAAAAAAATAGGAAAGAATATTAAGAGCTTGCCCTTAGAGATCAAAGATCTTGGGCTGAGGGTAATCATTTTCCTGTCTCCCAGACATGAAATTTATCTGAGATGCCAAAAAAAAGAGATCTTTACCGTCCCTGTGTAGTTCTTAAGAGGTGCAAAGGCAGCTTCACTTAAATGATGGCTGTAATTCTCAATTACCACGTGAAACACCTGAAGATCTGGGTTCCTCCTTGTCAAAAATGTAACTACAACAGAGATGCTTCAGAGCTCTGCCTAACGGAGAGCAAAGACAAAGATGGGGAAAGACAAAAATAAACATTCAGTAGGTGACTCTGGCAAACTGAGGTGGCTGCACAAAAGCCCAAACCTGTTGTTGTGGGTGTTGGTGCGTTCAGAGCATGACAGATTCCCATTGCTGGCATTACAATAAGGAGGGAGAGTCATTTTTTTGCTGAGTATGGGGGAAGATCTGAAGGTATTGTTGGTCATAATCATGCACTTGTTAGAGAAAGCCCTTGAAGGTGGCGAGATTTGGCATGAGGACACTTTCCCTGTCTCTCCATTTCCCTTCACAGTCATCCTTAGAGGTTAAAACCTACAAATACGAGCCAGGGTTTGGGACAGAGGGAGGGAGCTGCATCCTCTTGTAGGAACAGGTCCCAGAGTGAAGAAATCCTGTGTTTACAAACAGACCTTGTGAACTTTGTGATGGAGGAAATGGGACATTGAGTCTTAAGAATATTCTTAAGATATCTTAAGGCAATCATTGGATTAAACCCTGAGAATTCAACTCTGTTTCCTCCCAGAAGAGTAAGGATGTGCTTGTGTGAGGAGTTTCTCTTATGAACTCTTTTGGTGGAACACAGATCCTTGCAGCACTCTAGCAGGAAGGATATAGTACTTAATAAATGATTGTCTCTTCTAATGAACAGCTTCTGCTCATTGAGTCATCTCCCACAAAAGGGAATTCAGCTAGACTGAAAATCTGAATCCCAGCTGCCAGAGATGCCTACACCACAGGGCCTGGGGCAAGATTGTGTCCCAGGATTTAATTGGAGCCTGTCTGCCTGCCTGCTAGTGGGTGTGAAAGCCAAGATTTAGTCTGTGGTGGGTGGAAGAGCTCTGGCTCCAGCACGACTGAAACTCTGACACAGCACAAGTGGAGCACAGGGCTTTCAGCTGACTGTGTGAAAAATCTCATCCAGCTCTCCCACCCGGTATGAATCTCTTTTTAGGTGATGGATATTCACTTTTTCAGTCAAGAGGTATTTAGATATTGCATGTCTGCACAACATATTTGAAACTGGATATCATGGAAAGGTTTGGGCTGGAAGGAACCTTGAAAATCCACCTGTTCCACTTGTGCCATGGACAGGGACACCTTCCACTATCCCAGGTGGCTCCAAAACTCATCCAGCCTGGCTTTGGGCACTTCCAGGGATCCAGGGGCAGCCAAAGCTTCTCTGAGCATCCTGTGCCAGGGCCTCACCAACCCTCATAGAGGGAAGAATATTTTCCTTTGTGGATATCCCAGTCTGACCTGGCAGCATTCCCGACCATGTTCACAGATGCCGTGAACATGTTAAAGGTTTAGAGAGGAGTCTGCCCTTGCTGTAGGCAGCTCTTGGCCTTTCTCTCTCACGTAACTGGCACCAACACAAAAAAAAAAAAAGCAAAGTTTATTCTGCTTACAGACGGCTCCCAAAACTGTATGTCACAGGTGTGAATGGTGGAACCCAACAGAAAGTGTCTACTGCACGGTGACAGCGTGTTTGTGGTTCTTGTGACTGGGAAACTGCAATTTCTAATTAACCAATGCATATCTGTGTAGCAGCAGAACATGGGGCATCTCATGTAGGTTTTCTCTTAGAGGAAAACACCGTGATTCACCCACAGTTTTCCCCTCAGTGCAGCCTGTGTGTTTACAGAACATAAACCAGAACATTTTATTTTCTTGAGCAGAAATATTTTGCAAAGAAGCAATCTGTTACAAGCAGACTAAAGTGAGATCTCATCTCTTAATCATTACAGAACCTCTGAATCATTTAGAATGGAAAAGACCCCTCAGATCATTGTGTCTTAATTAGGGTTGGAATCAATGACCTTTTAGGTCTTTTGCAGCATAAATGACTCCAGGATTCTAAGTTTCTGTGAATTCAGGCTCTGCATGTACACTGTACTTGACTTAAAACATCAGAAGTGTTCCCTCCCAAAATGTTAGGCATGGAAATTTAAGGCAGCACAACGATCTAGACAGATGGAATTTCATATTTGAAGGATTCTGGAGTGTTTTCTGACAAAAAAGGCACATTCAGAGGCAGTGGGTCACTCAGCCTTTTCCTTCTCCAAGCAGTGAAGAAGCAAAACTTAAACTCACCAGCTTCTGCAGCATTCTTTTAGAAGCCAGCAAATTGCTTTCACTGTCTCTAAATGCCACAGAAAACTTGTTTTCATAGTAGCTATCCTGGCTGTCTTTTTGTCTCATCGGGCTTTGCAAGGCAAACAGAAAAGCAGCCTAGGAATGGGGTGCATTATTTTGTATTATGAAATCCACAGCAAAAATCCTCAGACACCTGTTATTATCTTTACATTTCATCTCACTGTGCAGCCAGATACACTGGGTGAGTGCACCTTACAGCTGTTCTCAGTGTTGTTAATTCAGAGCAAAAGAACTAAAATGTCAAAACTATGGGAAATGACTAGATGCACAAATAAATAACACCTGTTTTTCATTACTGTATTAAATTATCAAACCTCAGGTACTTCAAAAATCCCAGCCAAGAACAGAAGGGAATCAGGTGCTCCTGACTTCCTTTATTGCTAAATGCAAGTGGGGGAAAAAAAGAAAAAAAAAGAAAAAAGAAAAAGAGGAAAAAAAAATAATTAAAAAAGAAAAGAAAAAAAATAGAAAAAAAAAAAAAAAAAAAGGAAAAAAATAGTTAATAGTTTTAATTCTTCATTTTCAGAATTCATTAGAAACATAAGAACTAGTTCTGGGATACGCCCACTCTCTGTGTCATTTACTGCTACAACCCTTATCTCCCAATCTTAATTAAAGAATTGCTGTGAAAATATTTGTTGTGTTTCTGTCTCTAATTAATGCTACCTCTCTGCACATGAGGCTTAACCCAATACTGAAGCAAACAGAAGTACTCTTAGGCAGAAACTACACAAGAAATTTGGAGGGGCATTTTGCATTTTAACTTGGTGAAAACACCACAACTCAACTGGAATAAAATTGAACTGTGACATATATGAAAATCCTAAAAGAAGTTATATTTTATACTCTCAGAAGTAAAAAAAAAAAATCTATTCAGTGAGGCTTGAATCAGACATTCACATGCAGAAGAGTTTACACAGATGTTAAATAATAAATGCACTGTTGTACCTCAAGAAAATATACAATAACTACTGATATTTATGACATCATTCCAACTGCAGGTAAGCTGTTTCCCATTTACTGTTTATGAAGGGATTTGCACCTTCCACCTCTGCCTGTGTTATTATCCCTGTTCCAAAAGCTGGTAAATTGGAAGATGGAGTTTGTGCTTTGTACAGATCTCCCACTTCAACCTTCCAGGTAGCTTTGAAGCCACTTTGTCCCCTTGGCAAGATTGATTCACTCTCAGATGGAAAAAGAAAGTTTCTTGAAACAGCTTGTGTCTAAAAATGTAGGTCTGTATCTTATTAGCACCTTGAATCTGACACTTGGGCTCTTTATTTCCATTTATACCTGTTGCTTTTGCACAGGTATGTGAAAGTAGTTGGCAAAATCACAGTTTCACATCAAGTGAATTCATGTCCTGGAACAGCAGATCAAACCTTTTTTTAAGCATTGTTATCTAGAAAAAAAAAAATAAATCAAAATGCCATATTTTTATATGATTTTTTCCTTCTGCTTTTGAGGTGTTATCAAGACAACTTGTCAGCAGTCTGCTCCATGGACAGGTGAGGGAAGAAGTCTGCTGATGTGAAGACAGCACTTGCTCTAAAATAGAAATGATATATAAATAGTTGTACTGTGAGACACAGCTTGAGTTCAGTGGCTCACATGCACGTGACTGTATTAAAATGTTTCAGAAAAAAATTATAGCATATTACACCTTTAAGCTTCTAAAATTTTCCCAAGTGCTAAAATCTTAAATAGGTGAGATTAGCATTTTTAATTTTGCCATATACATGTATATAATTGCATGTCTACCTCTTGGCATATATAGCCAATCAGCATTTAAAGCTGTAATTTCCCCTGAGAGGTATTATACTTAGAAACTGCAGAAATAAAGGGTGGTCAGCACATCACGAGTAGGAGAGCTGCAGGAAAAAAAAAAAACAGGTTTTCTTCTTGCACACAGTAGAAAAGCCAACCTTTTTCATGTCTTAAAAATGAAAATAAAAAATAAAAATAAAAAATAAAAGTAAAAAAGAAAAAGAAAAAGAAATATAAAATAAAATAAAATAAAATAAAATAAAATAAAATAAAATAAAATAAAATAAAATAAAATAAAATAAAATAAAATAAAATAAAATAAAATAGTGACTATGGGGAGGCAGGAAAAGGAATGTGGACTGCTAGAAGTGGACCTACTGCATTACTGGCCAGCTCAGGCTGAACCATGGTGTTATACGCAGGCCAAACTGAAATGTGAGAAATTAAATAAATGCAAATTAAATAAATGAACCCAGCAAGGGTGATGAGACCAATAAATTGATGCCCAGGGCGTGACTGAAAGCACTTCAGCTGTAAAACCAAAGAGGGAAGGCTGATCTCATCCTTGCAAGCACCCCATGGAAAATCAAAGACCAATCTCAGAATGTATTGAGGGATACTGACTTTAGAGGAGGGAAAAAACACCTTCTGGAGGCATTCTTGGGCAGTACTTACGGGGAATTGCTGAGAAATTCCTCTCACTGGACTCATCAGAAGACACAAGGAAAGCTGAGTCTGCCCCACACAAAGAGCCAGCTGCCTTCCCTGCTTCACTGACTTCTCACAATAATCCTGGCTAGAAAGCCAAGATGCTACAACATCTACTTCCTTGTTGTAAATGAGCAGATACTTATGGTTGGATTGCCATATTGTGCAAAGTAAAAAATTATTCTGTAATTCTTTAAGAAATCAGGTCATTCTTTTACTATAAACGTGTCAGTATCTCTCTGTCATGGGATTTCTGCCGATGCAGTTTACTTCTTAAAAGAGGACATGGAAAAATTTTATAAAATATGTTAATACAGAAATAATAATAAATAATATCATAAATAATAAAATAAAATGTTATCATAATATAGATATTAACATATATAATATATCTATAATATAAATATTATAACTATATAAAATAAATAATATATAATAGATGTTATACTATATGTATATTATACATATAATATACTGTATCTATTATATAATATTATATATATTATATATTATATATTATATATATTATATATTATATATTATATATTATATATTTTATGTTATATATGTTGTGTATTATATATTATATATTATATATACTATAATATAATATTATATAGAATATATAATAAATTATAATAAATAATAAATAATGTTAATACAGAAACTGTCAAAATCTGATATCAAAGGAAGGCAGGTTTACACATGGAAACAAAACAAAATCAAAAAATATAGAGCCCTTCTGCATTTATCCTTGTAAGTTAGACAAGGCTGTGATGTACTGTGATAATCCCCTTCCATGCTAACTTATTACGTGTCATTATTTAGATAGTTTGGTTATAAATATGTATTAAATGTAAATAAATATATAAAATGTATTTTGTTGTGTGGAAAGAGGTTGAGGAGTCCTAAACCAAGTTGCATCTATGCTCTGGGAAGGGAGGAAAATCTTTACCCTGCCCCTGAGCTGCTCCTGCATCTCAGAGCCTGCACTCTGGGGGTGGTTAATGAGGAGCACATGAGTGATGGACAGGATCCAGGAGAAGCCAACCATGCCAAGCTGCTGCAACCACCCACCAGCAGAAAAACATAGGAACCATCAGTTACTGGGGATTTCTTTCTGGGAGGCACCAAAACACTCATTTGCAGTGCAGACAATTTTCTCCACAGCAATGTTCTGCCTGACGGGGGTTTGACGATTCCTACAGGTCTGCTCCTAAAATCCCACACCAGGTCCAACAATGTGGCAAATTAGAACCACCAGAACAGGCTGTGTGTCCCCTTTGAGTAAAATTTTAAAAGGATGTGGAGCACAGGGAGTGTTGTCCTCTATCCTTCCAGTCAGACTCAGGAGTTTAGGAGGGAACATTGAAAGTGTGAACAGTGTCACACTCAAGATTTTGCCTCTTGCAGTCGTGGATAAACCTTTGAGAAGCATTTGTGAATGACAGAATTCACCTCAGAAGCATTGCTGGACCTGTTCCAACATGGAAGAAATAATTAGGGATGTCAGTGTTGGTGGCAGCATTTTCTAGAGTGGCTGTGGCCTGGTGTAACACACAATAATGAGAGATATTGGCCAGGCGTAGTCAGGATCCTGAATTTTAGGAGAACAAATTTCTTGAGTTTTAAGTAACCAGTGAATGGGATTCCTTAGGAATTCACTGCCCTTGGAGAAAAAGGAGGAAAACCAAACCAGCAATTTTTAAGGGCAATTTTCTTAAGTGCAACAACTCTCAATTCTGACACGTAAAGCATTGGGCAACAGAGGCAGAGACCAGCATGGCTCAGGAAGGACTTTTTGGTCAAACTAAGGTGTAAGAAGGAAATACCCAGGTAATGGAACCAGGGATGTCTGTACTAGGAAAAGTGTATGGACACTGCCTGGATGTGAAGAAATGGGGTTAGGAAAGGTAAAGCAGAGCTGGAACAGAATTTGGCAAGGAATTTGAGGAATGAGAGCTTTTGCAAAGTACACTGGCCAGAAAACAGGTGTGAAAGAAAAGGTTCCCCCCTTGGTGCCCTGTAAATAAGACAGGAAAGCTGGTGACAGCCAACATGGGGAACATGAGTGCTCAATAAATCTGTTTTCCCCTCAGTTTTCAACAGTAATCCATCTTCCCACATTGCTCAAGCCCCTGAAAATCAAGACAGGAGCTGGAGGAGTGAAGTTGATCCCATCACAGGAGAATGTCAGGTTGAGACAGACATGAACATGTACAAACCTGTGGTTCCTGGCAAGGTACATCCCGGACTGCAGAGGATGTGTTGCAGTGTCTAAGCCACTCTCCATGACACCTGACAAGTTGTGACACACAGGTGATGTCCCTGGGGGCTGGAGAAAGGGAAATGATGCACCCATTATTAAAAGGAGTAGAAAGGAGATCTCTGGGAACCACAGACTTGTCAGACCCAAATTTACACATTTTTTAAGTGCCTCCAGAAGTGATGACTCAGCCACATCCCTGGACAGCCTGTTCCATGCCCTGGACTCACACCACAGTATCTTTTCCCCCTTGGAGAAAGATGCACCAGATGATGTTGTTGTATACATTAGTGTCCTCTTCCTC